CAGGAAACCAAGGGTTTTATACTTCATCTGTTGCAGCTGCATTTATACCCTGTCAAGGGAATCACCAGCAGACAAGAACAACAGTGCATTGGTGCAAAAACCATTGATTCATATATAATTTCTTCGGGATGTGTCTTATTCATATGTTCAACAGCAAGCTTTCTTTTTCTTCTGCCCTAGAATGAACATGAGCAGATAATGGCCACATCATGGCCACCAACGTATGGCTCAATCAGGTAACCATCCCATGGATCTTCAGTTTAAACCTCCCAAACTGGAGCAGAAACAACGAAGCAGCTACTTCATATTTACAGCATCTGATCCTGATCTCCCAGTGACCATTTACATGCCCCTCTTCATGCGCAGAATGCATTCCAAGAAAATGGAGCCCTCAGCAGTAAACGGGGCAGTTTAATATTGCCCTTTCTGCCAGGAGCATAAATTTGCTGGGATACCAGTGGCTCCTCTAAAATTGGCATTGCTCAATAGGAGTCCCCTACAGTTGTTTGGATTACAACTCTCAGCAGCAGTCAGCCAGCAGAATTGATCCTCAGGAATGATGGGGGTTGTAATCCAAAGTATCTGCAAGCCCATCAGGCTGACAGAAGCCACCTTGAATCCAGGGGAAAACGCAGGAGTCTGCTTTCTGGCTCTTCTTCCAGACTGTCAGGAATTCCCAAAACTAAAGAAGCCCCCCCTCCCCCAGAATCGGCCTGCTGGGGTATCTCCAGTTGGCAGACCCTTCAGCTGAACCAGCGGTGCTGCCTCCCTGGATTCACTCCACTGACTGACGACCAACCAACTCTTAATCCTGGTTCCCAGCTTTTGCCCTGAAGCTAACTGCTGAACATCCACGTCTATGCTGCACCCCTGGTTCCCAGCTTTTGCCCTGAAGCTAATTGCTGAACATCCACATCTATGCTGCAGGGAGAGTCTCTCTCTCTCTCTCCCCTCTGCTGCTCCTCCTCATGCAGCCAAGCAGGGGCAGCCTCTCTCTCTCTGTTTCCCAGCACTGTAAGTCCTCTGCTCTTTTCCTTATGAGCAGCAGGAAGAGAAAAGGGATGGGAGGACACACAGGGGCTTCCTGCACCATCCGTAGAACAGAAGCTGCCGGTGCGGCTGAGATGGTCCCTTGAGCTGCACAGCCTGCCATCGCTCAGCCCCCCAAAATAATCCAAGACAGCGCTGCTCACACAGGTACGTTTGGAGTGGGTGGGTGGGCAGGAGGTCCTTTGGTGGTTGAGGATTGAACTGTTTAGAACTAGTAATACCTTTCAGCCGTTCGCTGTGACTTTAACCACCATCAGGTTGCAAGTGTTTCGGCTGACCTTGTCCCCCAGACTCTTGTTCTTTGGGCTGGAAAGATTATACAGGTGGGGAACTTCTGTGGTCTCCCAAATGCTGGCTGGTGGACTGCAGTTCTCATCAGTCCTTGCCGCCGCCACCACCACCAGTTGTAGTTAGAACTGTAGTCTGACAACATTGGGAGCGCCCCCCTGGTGCCTTTCTCCCACCTAGCAGAAAATCGTGTTTAGGGCTCCAGTTTGTCAGGGCAATGGGGACGGCAGGCATGAGGGAAGGAAGGGCTCTAAATAGCAGATGAACCATAGCAGGCGAAACATTGCATGCTAAGGAGAGTTGCATTTGTATATCAAACTACTGTTAATGACACAGGAACAGATGCAGGAGAAAAAGTTCTATACAGGAAGGCTGGTCAGTTTTTTATGGCATACAAAGAAATGGTTACCCCTTTTTATTGTTTCGTCATGAGTCCCTGTTCCAAACATGCCTCTGCAGAGAACAAGTGTTCAGATAATGCAAGTGCCCCCCTGAAGCACAAGGGGGTGGTTCCCTCCAAGCACAGGCATTTCTTACTCTCCCACGTCCTAAAATTAAACCTTTGACTGTTTGAGTGACATGTGCCCCTAATTCTAATTCAGGCAGCAGTCTTTGCTGTCAAAGCGTTTGGCAGTATTGATATTGCTAATTGGGAAAAGAGAAAAAGAAGAAAAATAACCTAAATAGTTTGAGTGTCTTTAACGATAGAAATTAGCAGGTCAAACTTTGCATGCTAAGGAGATTTGCATCAGTAGCTCAAGTTGCTCTTAATGACACAGGAGCAGGTGCAGGAGAAAAAGTTGGCAATCCTATACAGGACGGTTGGTGGAACAGAAGGGTCTAGACAGCAGTAGTTGGTCTGCTACCATAAATGTATGACCTTGTTTTTTCTGCAAACAACGGTGAATATATAGTACTGGAAAACACTTGAAGTTAGTCGGACAAAGTAGTGTTTTAAATAATGGAAGCAGATAATAACAGACTATGTGTACCTAAGCACCTTATTAATTAATCCTATAATCCTGTGAGCCAGAAAGTTTGCTTTTAATATAATTCTTGTACACTGCATAACTGCTGAAGCACTTTGATGATTGTGACAGTGTTAGTGATAATGATGATGACCCCCACCTTTTGTAATATGTTTGCATAATTTTACCTTTACAATGATTTCTCCTCCCGCTTCCCCACCCATAATAACTGTGCCATTATTATTTCAGTTCATATGCCAAGTTTCACTGTACAACTTTTCCAGATAAATACCTACCCGTGGTTTTCATATACTGGATAGATTATGAAAAAATATTTATGAAAGAGTAGCTGAATATGATGCCAGAAGAAAACTTTATGTTGTCTGATATATGCAAATAAGGTGAAAAGAATGCAAATTGGGAGGACCCACTTTTTTGGGGGGGAAAAAACAGTCTTTTTCCCTGCCGGCCCTAGGAAAAAAGCTTCACTGAACTCCATTTCATTTAATTTCAAGTGGACATCTATAGGACTGCATGTTAACAAAAGTCAGTGAATGTGTATTACATACATAGATTGGAGCTCTACAGCTTTTGATTGTAAAACAATGCGGAACATAAAATTGGGAGAGAGAAAAACAGAATGTTAATAAAAGGTACGTCTTGACTGGCAGCTTGTAACGCGAGAGACTGGGTAAGGTCAAGAGTGGAAATTGGAGTGAAATAGTTAGATCTCAGCGACTAATAAAGCACTCGGAAACCAGAAACAGGTTGTAAATCAAGAGACCAGGTGTGGGTGCTAGACTGGCCTTCTAACACCAGTGGCATGTGTTCGAAATTAGCCATGGCTTGGGGGGGGGGATTCATTGTAAAAATATATATATGTATAAACAAACCCATGAAAACTGTAAGAATAGAGGGAAAGGAAACTTTCTTCAAAAGCCAAATACATTAGCCAACATGTCCTAATAGTAAAGCATGATGGGAACTGTAGCCAAGCAACGCCAAAGGGAGTCCTCCTCTCCACCTCTCTAGGGTTAGAAAGTCATGCTTTGTCTGATTCATTTATCTTCTTCAACCAACTCTTCTTCCTCCTTTGCCTTTTAGCCAAGATGGTGGGCTGGTGGGCCAGTTTCACACCCTCTGCTTAACCGTCTCAACAGGAAGAAAAGAGCTATGCAGAGATGCCCCCGGTGCCCATCTTCTTGTTCCTGATCCTTAGCCTGCCCGGCAGCCTATCATGCCCCGCAGGCTGCGACTGCCCCCCAGAAAGTGGCATGGTCTGGTGCAATCGGAGGGATCTGGTGATGATCCCCTTTGACATCCCTCACGAAGCCCACATCCTTTACCTGGATTCGAACTGGATCACTCATGTGCCAAACGGCGCCTTCCACGGCCTGAGGCAGCTCCGTGAGCTTCACTTGGCCGACAATCTCATCGAGAGCATTGCTCCGGCCGCCTTCCGGGGCTTGGGCGCGGGGCTAAGGCTCCTGGACCTCTCGGGCAACCAACTTCAGAGGATGGAGCCGACCCCATTCATCATGTTGACCTGGGTTCGCCTTGAGCTCTACGACAACCCCTGGCATTGCGACTGCCCCCTCCAGGAACTGATGCAGGCCCTTCCCCTGGACGCCGAGACGGTGGAGGACATTGTGTGCGCCACCGCCACTTGGGAGGAATATGCTGGCAAGACACTGGAGCACCTGCTCCGCTCTGGCGTCAACTTCTGCCTCAGCCAGCAGAGGAACACTGACCTGGCCATGCTGCTCACCATGTTCTGCTGGTTCACTGTCGTCATCACGTACGTCATCTATTACGTCCGGCGAAACCAAGCCGAATCCCGACGCCACCTGGAATACCTCAAATCGTTGCCCTTGCCCAGCAAGCAGTCTAGCCCAGAAGAGGAAGAAGAGGCAGAAGTGGAGGAGGACGACACGCTCAGCACCATCCTTTGAGGTCTGCACTGACCCGATACCATAGAACCTGCTCTGTGAACTAGAGAATGTTCTCCTTTCAAAGAAGCCTTGTAGTTTTTTGTTTTTGTTTGCAATCTGTGGGAGAGACTCCTGAGGATTCTTCTGTCTTTCCTGGAATGGTAATTCCACTTAAGAGGGCGCTTAACATAGTATGAACAATTATTGTATTAACCCCAAGGCCTTGTCACAGCTAAATCCAAACTAACTTCCTTGTGGCAATGGAACTCTACCTCAATACAATGATGCTGTACCTTCAGTGGTTCCCAACCATGGGTCCCCAGATGTTCTTGGACTGCAGCCCCCAAAAATCCTGACCAGCACAACTAGTGGTGAAGGTTTCTGGGTTGTTGCAGTCCAAGAGCATCTGAGAACCCAAGGTTGGGAACCACTCCTGTATATCATTCTCTCTCATACTGGCCATTTTGGTGTGGGGATGATAGGCACTGTAGTCTACCACTTCAGAAAAGCTACTACATACCGTCAACTGTAGGCAACCCATCTCTCCCTCAAGCTAGGTTCTCAATAGGCCTACATCATGGACATTCCAATTAGCACGAGAAATTAAGGTATTTTTCACCTCCACTGAAATTCTGGGGTGTTTCATAAATAATTGGGCTCGGTTGGGCCTTGGTCAAGTGGCTAACCAACAGGCATTTTAACTTGTCCATTTGGTATTTCTGCCTCAGGCTTCACAGCTAGTCTTTTGTAAAACAAGCCTGGTAATTTTGTGCAAGAACAGGAGTATGTAAGTGAGTTCAATGGATGACAACAACAACAACATTGTCTATTGACTTCACACCCATTCACCCTACTCACTGGCAGACTCACAAAAACCTCTCACTAATTTTCTTCATACTAAATGAGCAAAATTCTGCCCATCACCTCTGATCAGGTATCTTAAATGACAAAACAATACAGGCTGGTTAGTATTCTCTTCCCAAACTAATTTATTGGTGACGTCACTGACTGGATAAAACCTTGTTTGGAAATTACTGTCTTTTTCCAGTTTCTAAAATCGGATGGTGGTTGTAATAATCATCTTTTTTTTTTAAACTGCAAGCCGCGCCTCCTCCCTTTTTTCAAACCTACCAACCCTCCATCTGATAAGACTTTCCCTCTTGGTGGAGGGTGCAGGCGCCTTCTGCCCACCTGCAATGATTGTAGATCATTCTCCTGCTTATTGCTATGTTGCATTTCAATGACTCAGTGAGGCTCTGGGGTGGTGGTAGTGGTGGTAGGGGGAAGAGAACCTAAGACTTTCTCGTTCCTTTCCCAGGGTGTCCCAGCCATTGCCTCTGTTCCTAGACCTCTCATGGAGCAGATGCCTCCTTTGAGGTTCACTTGGCTCAGATTCTTGCCCCACCAACCGCTACGTCTCATGAGCCATGGGGGGGGGGAGGAGTCTTTCTCAGATGCCAAGATTCACGGGATGGTGCTATGAACATAAAATTGTTTAATTAGTAAAAAAAAAAATCATTTCATTCCTCGTGCATACACTTCCCATCTGTTTCTCATAATCAAAGGCTGCCACACATCTCCCCATTAAACTGGATCCCCCATTACTAAGCGTGTTCCCATCCCTCTCTTCCCCTTTGCCAGGGATTTAGGCAGAGATATTACAGCTTAATGCTAGGGGATTATCAATGGAAACAATCATAAGTCCCTGTCTCTTAATCCTCCCGTGTCTCTCTCTCGCTCTCTTTTTTTAACCGAGGCTTTTGCTGTGTCTGTGTCTCTCTCTCTCTCTCTCTCTTTTTAACCGAGGCTTCTGCTCTGTCTGGTGATCTACAGCCCCTTTCCTTTGAGCAGCTTTGACTGCCTCCTTCCTCCCTGGCCTTCAGTTCAGGCCCACTCACACATTACATCAGGGTTAGGTCACCTGTAGCCCTTGGCGGCCCAACATCAAAAGACCTGAGAGGTACCAGCCTATCCCTCCTCCAGAGAGCAGCCCACCCTGGGCAGGGAGGGAGACGGACAGACAGACAAAGATGGGGTGGAAGTGCAGGAGAGAAAGGAGGAGGGGTTGGAGAAAGAAAACACCTCTGGAACAACTTGCCCGGGGAGATCCTTGCCTGGCTCCCTCTTTGGGTGTTTTCAGGAGTAAAGTTAAGACCTGGCTATTTAGGCAGGCTTTCCCTCCTGCCATATCTTAAATTTTGCCATTTTTGCCATCTGGGATTTATGGTATTATGTTTATTGGGTTTACTGTTTTTAAAAATTGTAATGCTGCCCAGAGCAGACCTTTGGTCTAGATGAATTGGGTAGAAGTCTAATAAAATAAATAAATGTGGCTCCAACCAGCTTGACTCTGACCCCGTCCATCACTGGAGCAACTACAGTCCTGGACTGCATAACAGGCACAAGGCATTAATTACCCATATGAGACCTACAGGGCTGATTATATTTATTTCATTCACACATTGTGTTTTCAGATGCATACTTTGGAGACCTCAGACAAGACCAAGGGTAGATACAGAACTTCTGGCCATCTCAGTTCCATTGAACAATTCATATCACTGCAGTTGTTAGTCTTGTTGGCTTGGTGATAGGACTTGTAGTCCAAGACATCAAGGGGAAAGGATGGGATATGCAATTGAAACCCTTCCACTAGATTCTAAAGTATGTGATCTGAAATACTTTTAAGAGTGCACCTAAAATGTGTGTGTGTGTGTGTGTGTGTGATAGTCATACAGCACTTCATTTGGGAAGACATGGGTAAGAAAAAGCTGGCACATGGGCTTTTTAGAAGCACCTGGTGAGCCACCATCTCAGACAGAAGGCTTAAGAGGCTGCCTTCCTTCGCTGTCTGTAAATGCCTGTAGCTCATGCTACTGTAGAAAGCATGGGAGCAAGGACTGGTTAAAAAAACCAAGCTGGCCATGCTAAATATGTGAAGAGGCCGTCTTTCCTGAAATGTCTCACTTGACATCATACCAAATCACCCCATGGGTGGCAAGTGATCCATTGGTTTCTGCTTAGGCACATACAACAAAACAAGGCTCAGAGTAGCTGCTGAAAGTAATGCAATACTGTACTGTGTGTGGCCAGGAGAGTTTATCACCCCATGGGTGGCAAGTGATCCATTGGTTTCTGCTTAGGCACATACAACAAAACAAGGCTCAGAGTAGCTGCTGAAAGTAATGCATTACTGTGTGTGGCCAGGAGAGTTTAGAGAGTTCTAAAAATGTAACTGTCCTTCATGGGTCTTTGGAGAGAGAGAAAGCCTTTAAAAAAAGGGAAAAGATCTAATAATGGGTCTTGGCCCTTCCTTCCAACTATGTTTGTAGCAATCTTGGATGAAATACAAAGACGATTCAGTCTGGGGCTTCGGATTTCATCCCTTTTTTCTTCTTCTTGCTTTCAAGTGCGGTTTTCCAAGCCACTTTAATTGACCCTAGCCTTTCAAGTCATTTAATGTAATATTCTGGAATATTAGAAAGACAACGAGGGCTTTACTCCCCCTCTATTCTGCAAGGCAAAGACTGTCTACTGCCAGTCTTCGTATCTTTTTTTTTTAAAAGGCCTCATTTTATCAGCATCATGCCTGCAATAGAGAGAATAGTTATAATTTATGTTAATAGCCTTTACATGGGCCTTGAGAAAAACTCACTGTTTGTGTAGTAAGTAAAGGAGGTCAGGCCCAGGAGACCGCACTGACGGGCTTTCCATACCATTATTTCCATACCTTTCTCATTAGGATGTGTAGTATTCAAAGGTACTTAAGTATCTGGGGGCATGAGAGAAAAACTCACACGCTTTTCCCCAAACCCTGGCTATGAAAATAAAAACGTAATACAAGATAAATCCTTAATTTGCTGAGTTTCTGTGACACCCTCAACCTGCTGCCTGAGGCAAACGTCTGCTTAATAGTAAGACTGGCCTTATCTGCAGGCTAGATCCAGTCGGCTGCTGAGCCCACGGGAAGAGCTGCAACCCTACACAGACCTAACTGGGAGTAAACCTGCACTGAAAACAAGGGGGGTAGTGATTAGATAAATGCGCATAGGATGAGATGGCAAAAGGAAAACGTCTGGCACATGTAGTTGTCCCATTCAGTGATTCTCAAATCTTCGGCCGGCCATGTATTTTGGACTTCAGGGCTCACACACAACCCCATATAGTTAACAATGCTAACAATGAGGGTGAGGCTTCTGAGAGTCCAGAATATGTGGAGGGAGATCCATATATTGTGCCACAGTAACAGAAATGCCATCTGTTTAACAGGTGGGGGAGACTCTCTCTCTCTCTCTCCATACCATTTATAACATTTGTAGGCTTCTAATATATCTCCTCTTCAAACTAAACACAATCACAACAGTTTGACATCAGTACACAGAGATGCTTTTTTTTGGTCTGACACATTCCCACAACCCTTCCAGGCCTAGGCTTCACCACATGTAGATGACTTTAGTTATGAACTTCTAAACTGTAACTAGAATAACATACCAACAGAGTTTCTTGATCCCATATGTCTTCCACATGTTTTTTTAGAGTAACATAGAAATGTGGCCTTCAAAGGATCGCAAGTACTATTTTAGACAGGGCCATTTCCTGGTTTCATCGGTGATCGATCCTGGAACCTTTGACTTCATAAGTGCTTGCACGCCTATCATTTCAACTTCTTATCCATCATCTCCTCTCTCTTTCACATCAGCAAATACCAGCACAGCTCCTACCTCTGAGGAGTGAAATTCACAACTTTACAGAGCAGCACAATGACCCGTGAAAAAGACAGGAACGAAAAAACACTTGGCCAAAGTTCCAACAGCTTATTCCCTTGGAATCTGAATTCTGTAGAGCGCTGTTTGGAGGTGATAAAGCGACCCAAGAGAAACACTCCTTAAGTGTCCCAGAAAAAAAGCAGCAGGCAGTCATCAGGCGGTCCTTCTTTGGGTTTTTATTTTTGTCCTCAAGCAGAACAAAAGGATGTCTATCTCAGGCAAGTTCTACCTGCACCGGGTCTGGAAGTAAGAAAGCCTTATGCCAGGTAATCCCACCTGAGTTGCAACTGACTGAAGGAAGATGTAACAGATCTCGGCCTTTAGGATAAGTCAAGCAACCCCTGGAAGAAGGCAAAAAAAAAAGCTGGAGGCACCTTCTGGAGAGCGCTTCTGAAGCTGGAGTTGCTTTTGGAGGGCATTCCCAGCACGTTGACCTTCAGAGTTCTGAAAACAGCAGTGGTTCCCGCGCGCTGCTCCTGCTGCCCACAGGAGGCACCAGGGGACTTTGCCCAGAGCTCAAAGAGGGGAGCCGGGCAGTCACAAAGAAGAAAGGGATGTGGCTGATTCTTCCTGTTGACCAACACTGAAAAAGAGAGAACGGGAGGGAGGAAGGAATACTGTGAACAGATGGTTACCATTTGTATATCCTGCCCTGGCCAATTTCTGTCTTCATCACCTGGTTGATTTTAATCATAATTTCTCCAATCCACAGAAGGAGATCCCGCAATGGGATGAAACATCAAGAGTGGCTATAGGACAGGGCACTGTTATATTCCTCCACTCAGAATCTACCCTGAGAAGACTGGGCCAACACGGATCGATTATGCCATCTGACGAGACTGTAAAAATTAGGACCCGTTTTCTGTCTTGCGTCATTCGATCTGCTCTTGATGGCTGCAAGGGGCCCGACCTGGTCTCCCAGACATCAAGGGAGGAATACATCTTGTGAAGGTCATTGACCGACTCAGAACAGTTAGTTCCCAACACCATGTGACAAGGAAGCCTGGGTGCCCTGAGTAGCCAAAGTGCTACTCGAAACTCCTCCACTGCTGGGAGGCTGAACTTACCACGGTCAGCAAGGCTCCCTTCTGAAAGCAAGAGTGGAAAGCAACCAGTTGAGGCTCTGCATCATCTTCACCTTGTAAGAAGCCACTAGGGAAAAATGGAGAAGAAGATCACATGACTGTTGTAGAGATACACACAGGCTTTTGCGATGATGATGAAATCCCCTTCCATTGTGAATACCGGGCACACCAAAGGGTGTACTTCAAGTCCACTCCACTTATGCAAGGTCCTTAATTTTTCCATACATCTCCCTTTTGTTTTAGGATTTGTGCGGAAGAGATAGTCCTATTTATATGCAGGAAAAAGAAAATGCACCCAGCTGTGCCATCAGAACGCCCACTCTGGCATTCAGAAATAGCTGCAAAGCACATTTGGCTGCAATAGGGACGGGCAAGGCTTGAGCGGCCTGGAAGCCAGTTTCTGACACCCCCCTCCCCCAAAGATACACCGCAAGCTGCAGTACCTCAAAACACCAAGAATAATATTCAGTTTTTAAAAATATATAAACATCAAAACAAGAAGTGAGTGGATGTCTGTTTGTCACTGGGGCAAGCTGGGCAATTTCAGTGCAAAACTGCTTGTCCCTGAGGCTTCCAGGAGAGGAAAATGCACTTTTTTTAAACCAACTTTTTCTTTCAGGGTTGCTTAAGGGTCTCAAAAGACTCTCTGGCAGGCAGGGAGGGGAGGAGGATGCACTTTGCCCACCCCTGGATAAAAAGATCTTGATCTTGGATAAGGGTTCATTTACTGCCGCTGCTTTCATGCTGATAGGTATCTATCCTGGTATTCTTTTACAACACACACTTTAGATGATGCAGTTTTAAATCATTTCTGGGCATTGCCAACCACAGCAAGAAGCCAGCTATTAATATCTGAAGTACATCTGTCACCCAATTAAACAAAACTCTGTCAATAAATCGTATGAACTTTGAACAAAACAACAGTCCTAGAGTCAGTAAGTCTCTTGTATTTTTAGGTGATGCACACAAGTATTCCAGTAAGAACCCTCTGGCAATCCCCCCATGGTGACCAAGAGAAAAGAAAGAACTCCTCCTCTAAGATGGTGCATTGGCTCTGTATTCAAAATGATGGCCACATATTGATAGCCTTTAAATCCATTGTTTTATGATGCAATCCTCCAGTTCTTTTACGCTACAGTAACCCTCTTTGGGCAGTGATGGAGCTTTCTGCTCAACCCGAGCCACCTCACTGTTGATTCTCCATCAACAGTGAGTACAACAAGATAGCACTGCAGGGAAGGCTTTGCATCTAACAGACTCAAAGCATCATTTTGGGCTCACCCTTGGAACACGGAGAAAACTATACCAGACATGCAACTGAAAGAGGCAACAGAAGGGGCCTTTCAGAAATCATCCCTAAAATATCAGGCATACTTTAATAAGCCAGGCTACGGGCATGATAGAGTAGGGAACCAATTTTGGGCAGGGTTTTGGATTCATATCGACAGCCTGCTGCAGAGCTGGAACAACAGTGGCTGCAGCTACACCCACCAATATCCCTAAATAGGCTGGACCAGCAAGTGGAGATTCTTTGCTCAGCACCTCTTTGAAGAACCCAAGTTTGCTCCTTGTCTGGGATCAGGAGCAAAGGGGAGCTTTTTTGGGGTGGGGTGTCTGCTGGAGAAAGCAGGGAGCTTCTTGCACGTTTCTGCCTTCTGACTGGGAAGAAGTTCAGGAGAATAAGCCCCTGCTGTTATCTCCAACTCCCATTTCTTGTAGCCTGAAGAGGATGAGGCCTGGAGAGAGGGTAAGCTGGGAAGCTTCGCAGGACAGGACTCACAGAGGGTATAACCGAGGAGGCTCTGAAGACTGGGGCTAAACCTGATGGTTGGATTAGACCTCCAATACAGATTTCAGAGCAGCAAGCTGTATTCGCTACTCGCTTGTTGACAAACACAGGGATAGACCATAAGCGTTCCCAGTCTTGTCACATCCGCCCTCTCGTGTTCCTAAAGCCAACTGGCCTCTCCCATGTTATGTATCGGCAGGAAAAAACAGGTGTATGAGTATCCCTAGACATCAACTGATGCCCCTTCAGTGAGATCCATCATGCGTGAAACCGCCTTGAATAAGTTCCTGTTTATTTCACAGGTGGGTGGAATTGAACTACGAAGAGATCACTCATCCAAAGACACCCCCTGGCCAGAATTTTATTGCCAGTTTACCCTTCCATAAAGGACATCATCTTGGTGGCAAACTGCTTCTCATCAACAAGGAGCTGATTGTATCCTTGGGTGTGTACCCCATCACATGATCAGGTGACACTCAGGAATGCAACAAGCACCTTATTAACAAGTAGTGGCTTGCTACCACGGCTTATATGATTTCCCTTACACAAGTGCAATGTGCCACAAGATTCGGTCCCCTGATCCAACCAAAACTGAGCGACCAGATAGAGCACATGCTCAACCTCTGGCATCTCCAGTTGTGAAGAAGAGATTAAGAATCAAGTGAGTGTGAACAGACTAACCGACAGCAGATCATATGAAAAGTCTGACTGTCTGAAGTATGCTTCTAACCGGGAGCATCCATTACATAAAGGTTAGGAAAAAATGGGAAGCTTGTGGAATCCATTTCTAGCTTAAGAGAAACCAGTCAGTTGATGCACAGGATACAAACCATGGCAAGAGTTCAAACACAGGGCTGTTGCGGGTGCGAAACACTGCAATGATGGTCCTGGAGCCTGGATCGTCACGATTTCCTGCCGAAAGAGAAACCTGGGGTTAGGGTTTTTGACTTTCCTGTTTCTAGGCTTTAAAGCCGTGAGGATAAACTTTAAAATGTGACTTTAAAACCTGCAGAGATTTCCTGAGACTGCAGAGGGTGGGAGGGGGACTTGAGAAGCCCCTGGTCACCTTGGGCCTCAAAGGCCTGAGATGACAACAGTTACGCACGCAGTGTGTCTGGCCGAATTTCCACCCCGGCAATGGCTTGACTGAAACCCGTTTAGCTTCAGAGGTGGAACACTTTTTAAAGTTTATCTTCTCAGAAGGAAAGCCACAAGCATTTCCTCCCAAAGCAGACATCACTGGGAAGAAACAGCATTCCCCCCCCCAATCAAATAGGGCCCCAAGAGGAAGGACTCGGCATGCCTAAACGCTATGGGGTTTCTTAAGGATACCAGAATTTTTGCTTCTTGTTCGCATGGATACCCCATTAGGGAAAGTCAATGTTATCTTGGGATTAACGATTTAGTAGACCATTTAGTAGATCATCCAGCAGCTCATGTGATTAGATATTGTTGTTGTTCTCATTCCTACAGAGATTACTGGTGATTTGTATGGGTTAGGGCTGGACCTTTTATTATAATGTAGTCATTTATCCTGACCTTTTGGGGCAGGGTGTGACTGCCATCTTTGGCCTTCCAATTCTACCAGGATATTATAGGGTCTGAGCTGGGGGGGGCGGTTCACCTGGAGTAGATAATTTATAGGGGCATCCCTCCCCCCCTAAAAAATCCCCCCATGTTTTTTTAAAAAATATCATTTCAGCTCATTTTGCCCTCTAGGGGGCGTCCAAGCCAATTCTACCATGTTTTGAGACCCTGCAGCCCTTCCACTTTGTTTTTCCAAAAAAATTGTATTTATGGGCCACAAATGACAGCAAGGAAGCCCTTCAGTTTTTAAAAAGCTCCAGTTCCTTTAACTAAGCCATTAAAAAAAAATTAAAAAAAACAAACAAACCCCAAACCCACAAACCTCTTCTAGTGACCATTACAAAAGAATGGCCAGAATCTCGCTTGGTAATGTTAATGGGCACAGGTTAAATTGCAGGACTTCCCAGGCCAAACTGTTGCCAGCTAACAAGGCGCAGGTCACACTGCTTGACCTGTTGTGGCATCAGGCAGGTGCCTCATAACACATCAGATACCCCGTTAAAGAGTGGCAGTTCCCTGTGGCGAGTTAGGCGATTAAGCTCATAGACATTTAAATCACCACAAAGATTCTGGCCAGCAATTTCAGCAACCCTAACCCTACCACCACCACTGTTATGTAAATGGACTTCTCGGCCTGTGGTCTGTTCTGTTTGCCCTTCCCCTATGGGAGCCCAACCTTCAGGCTGACAAACCTGAAAAGTGGCCCTCAGCTCCACTGAGGTCACCCAACCATAATACATGCAAAACAGCCTGCAATAAATGGTCTTTTATACGGCAATCCTATGCAAAGCTCCGATGCACCCAGTGAGAATCTTAAACAAGCACAGAGCTTGACTAGGGAGAGCTTTCAAAGTGATTAAATAGAAAGCGACAACAGTGGGGAATAAGATTGAATTATTCTGGGTATAGAAAGTGAATCCTCAGTGATCTGAATTCTAACCTCTCAAGTTACAGGAAGTTTGATATCAGGAAAAACTTCCTGACTGTTAGAGCAGTACGGCAATGGAACCCATTACCTCAAGAGCTGGTGAGTGCTCTGACACTCCAGAGAAACTTGGACAACCACCTGGCAGATATCTGTTGATTTGCATTCCTGCATCGAGCAGTGGGTTGGGCTCAATGGCCTTCTAGGCCCCTTCCAACTTCATGATTCTATGATTCAATAGGGCTCTTTTTGTGCAGCACCAGTACTACCCATTATCGACTGCTCACATGCTCTGACAGCCGGTGTGGTGGTAGTGCTGCTGGGAGACCCCACTCAGCCATGAACTTCATGGGTGACCTGGGCCAGCCTGTCTCTTAGCCTCGCCTACCTCACAGGGCTGTTTTGAGAACAAAGTATCTCTGCCCACCATCCTGGACTCACTGGAGATAGAGCAAGTTAGAAACGCAGCAAAAACAAAGAAAATGATCTCAGAAAGAAAGGAAGGGAGAAGGAAAGGAAAGGAAAGGAAAGGAAAGGAAAGGAAAGGAAAGGAAAGGAAAGGAAAGGAAAGGAAAGGAAAGGAAAGGAAAGGAGGAAAAGAAAAGAAAAGAAAAAAGCTACATGGCTGGTCCAGAGTCTGATTTGGAATCCAATTTCAGAAAGAGGCAGCCTCTTTGGCCTTCTGAAGCATCAGCTTTAAGATGCAGATTAGAGAAGAGCTATTTTAAGCACTGCAAGTGCAAGGCCTTTTATGCTCTTAAGACTATGGATGCTCCGCTTGTCCTCTCTTGCACCAGGCAAGGTGAACCAAAGGGCCCAATCTCATCCCACTTTTGGGACAAAGATATGCATGCACACAAGTAAGAAGAGGCACGTGTTTTTTTTTTCAATCAACACCACCCTTGCCCCCTTTTCAAACAGCCACGAGCAACATCACTCAGCTGCCGCTTGCATGGATTTTAAGCACATAAGATGGAAGACACAAACATCTGGGGTTACGCAGGTTCTGGACCTGCAACGAGATCAGCCCTACAATGGTGGGCAGGGACAAAAAAAGCAGAAGGACAATGTTTTGTTTCATTCACAACCTGGTCTACACATAATGGCATCTAAAATATCACTGTCCCGCATCCAAAACAGCAGTAACAAATCAAATCAGATCCTACACCAAGAGAATGTGAAACTTGCAGCCAGAATACAAAATAAAAATTAAGCAAGTGAGGTCATTTTTCATAATTTATTTTACACGTTACATTGTGAGGTCTCACTCATTTAATACTGTAGTTCGAACTCATCTGCCATCCCTCTTAGGTTCTCAAGATCTATCAGAAGTAGTCTCTCTGTGTTCAAATTAATCCTAACGAGTATGGGATAATGTTTGGAGTCTTCCAGAATTGCATAGGCTGCACTGAGCTTCTCAGAGGAAGAACAAGGTAGAAACGCAGAAGCAAAAAGGAAAGGAAAAAGAGGCTAAAGCCATAAATCAGTACTGAAATAAATATGAATTTGAAAAAATAATAAAATGGCTAATGAATTTTCATGAAACCTACCTTCAGGCACAAAAGACTACAGTTTCCTGAATAAGAAAACACTTATGTAGCAGGAGACACCTTTTGTGACTATGAAGACCATATTCTTGTACCCCGGAAGGCAGCCTTCACCAAAATGCATTGGACCTTTTACTGTTTTACTAAACCTGCATAGCTGTAATGTACAGTGGTGCCTCGCACAGCGAGGTTAATCCGTTCTGGATTAACCCTCGCTGTGTGAAAACATCACTGTACGGATCAAAAAAAGCCACTGGAACGCATTAAACTAAGTTTAATGCGTTCCAATAGCAGCTTTACTCACCATACAGCGATGTTTCTCCGATGGCCGGCAGCCATTTTCGCGCCCTCCCCTTGCTTAACGAGGGGGCGAAAACGCTGTGTGCGGCCATTTTGGGGCTTCCGGCGGCCATTTTGAAGCCGCCGAACAGCTGATCGGCGGGTCGCAAAGCGAAGGTTGGTAAGCGAACCGCTTACCGCCCTTCGCTCTGCAATTTTGAGCCATAGGGGCCATCGGTGTGCGATCGCATTTGCGATCGCTAGAACGGCCCCGTTGTGCGGATTCGTCGTTCTACAGTGCACTCGTTGTGCGAGGCACCACTGTACTTTGTCTCTTTTTTTCCTTGCCTATCTGCATTTGTTACTATCCTCTTTTGAGGAATTACATGACAAAAGAAAATGTGGCAGCTGAAAGCTTACTGCTAAAAAGCATGCGCTCTTAGTGCTAAGAGCCTGGATATTCATAGCTTTTCTCTTCTACAACAGGGGTTCCCAACCTTGGGTAGTCCCGGTGTTCTTGGACTGCAACTCCCAGAAACCTCAGCCAGCACAGCTGGTGGTGAAGACTTCTGGGAACTGTAGTCCAAGAACACCTGGGTTACCCAAGGTTGGGAACCACTGATCTACACATAAGGACCAACAGGAAAAGGGCAAGGCAACCGCTCGGGGACATTTCGACAGAAGGGAAGCACAAAGCAAAAGCAATACCACCACTACCACCATGCTATTCACCAGAGAAAACACCTGATCATAAAGTACTAGAGTTCACATACCCTTGGTCCAAAAAGTGAAATAATGTTCAGCCTTCTAAAGCAAAGTCAAGCGCAAGAAGAGTGTGTGTTTCACTGCATCCTGAGGTTCTCTCACAATGTGACGCCCAGACATTGCCTGCAAGGCACACAATCCCCAGCTCTGTCTCTGCACCCAGCCTTGTCAAAGTTTCCGAAATACAAGAGGTTACCTCTGATGATGACCGCAAGCCTCTCACCGCTGGGGTCCCAAACCATGGAGTGCACTTCCCCTCCAATTCTGAAACACGGAGGAAACAATATGAAAGCCAACCAGCAAAAGCATATAGAAAGAGTTGAGGGACCCACATTAAGACATCAGCCATGCTCGAAGTTCAGAATTAAGCATCCTCTGAGCCTTAGAGGTGTGCTCCAACGAGAATTCCCATAGCCAGCCCAGTAAGTAGCCAGGGGTAATCAGAATTGCAGTCCAAGAGATTCAGAGGGAACCAAGGCGGGGCCTGATGGCCTAGAAAGCAAGCAGCCAGTGTCTAGCAAAATAGGCAGCCTTCTACATGAGAGGCCAAATAAGCAAACATGAACACTTCAAAGGGAGAAATAGTCTATACACACATACCTAAACCACTGAGCATTCTCTCTTCTCTCTCTCTCTCTCTCTCTCGAAAGAGAGAGAGAGAGCAAGCACTCAGTGGTTTAGGTCTTTGGCTGTGTAGTCCAAGAACACCTGGGTTGGGAGTTTGATTCTCCACTGTGCCTTCTCAACAGGGGCTGGACTTCAGAATCCATAGGGATCCCTTCCATCTCTGTAGTTGTAAGAATACTGATTTTAAGAACTTTGGAAATTATTTCTAAATATAGGAGTGCAGTCCCTGTTGGAGTTTAAAACCTGATGGGAGTTTAAAACTATGATGACTACTGGAAATGCTGCTCAGGAAAACTGTGAATCCACACCCCAATCTCCACTTCCCTTTCTGAGATTCCCTTATCTACATTCCCGACATCTACATTTTCTAGCTAGCGTTGCAGCCTGAAGGGCTTGAATCTGCAGCTGTGCGCTACCCAAGGGAAAGATTCGCAGCACGAACGACACCCTGGCCACGATCGTTCAATCTCTGTCTCGTTATCTCTTACCTCTCCTCCCCATAGAGCGTCTCAAAGGTGGTCTCTGACAAATCGGCCACAATGGAGGCTGTTTTGGACCCGCCAACCTGGCCTTGCTGTTCACCTGGAGAACAGGACGAGGGGGAAACAAAATCATTCCAACGGACACCCCGCGACAGGAGGAGGAAGTCCACAGGAAGCGGCCGTGGCTGCATTGTGCCAGCTCAACTCCTCAGTCCTCTGGCCAAACTCAGCCATTGACTTCCCTGCCTGGCACCCAGGAGGCCCTTGCCCATCACCCTCCCCCTCCCCGAGTCAGTTTTAGGAAACAAACAACAAACCCTGAAGTTTTCAGAGCTGAATCTGGGCCCTTCTCAGGGCAAACCAGGTGCTCTGCAATTGAAGAAGACAGCTGTGGGATGGGATTCTGTTTGGGGGAGTAGGGGGCTCATAGTGGCAGTTAGAGGCTGCCTTCTTCCTCTCCCTCTCCTCTCAGCAGAAACAGCCGCAAAAGGGGCGCAGGTGGCATTCCTGCATCCTTTCCCCAAGTGCCTCCTCCTCCTCCTCCTCCTCCTCCCACACCCACCTTTCTCACTGCCTGCAGACTCTGCCCTCAGAAGAACCGCATCTGATTCTGCTACAGCAGAACACAAGCCCTTCCAGTGAAAACCACACACACAACACACAGAGCTGGTAATATGATTCTTTAAAAACTTCTTTCCCAAACCATGTCACAAGGGGGAAATTTTATTGCTCCAACAGCTTTCAAACTTCAGGTGTGGCTTTCTGGGTAATTTCCTGAAATATTTGTTTTGCCTTATTCTGGTTTTCCTCTGTTTCCTACCACTAATAACCATGGCTGTGAGACTGTATTTAACAATCCCTCATTGTGCCAAGAAACACTGAATTCTAAAGCCCCGTGCCAGTTTGTATCAATTTGCTTGGGAGGTTTTGTTTTGTTTTGCAAATGTCTGCTGTTTTTTTCTTGTAAAATAAGTCATGCAAAATAGTCAAAACTGTGCAAGGAAGAGGTACCGATTAGGAGCTACTCAGGGCACCAAAGCCAATCCACAGAGAGCAGAAAATCTATTCAGCACCATTCCATTGCTCACATTATACTCTATTGCACACTGTTTCTGAGACTGTCCAACATTTCCCATGCTTCTAGAGGCAAGCTAAGGTACTGAGGGCAGTGCTAAACCCCATTTTCGGCATTGCCAGTATCCACACAGGGTTCGTAGTCATGCCTTCTGTACTCACCACTATATTCCAAGAAAGACAAGGAGTATATAACTGACTCTCCCTCAACTGTGAAAAGCAAGCGACTGCCGTCCGGACTCCAGCAACCAGTCTGGGGGAAAGACACAGACAGGACAGAGGACATAACGCATCAACAGATACGTTTTCAACTTGGCCAAAACCCAAGAGTCTAGAGCCCTGTACTAAGCACAGTGCCTGTCTTTCCAAGCAATGAGTGCCAGATTCTGCAGGCTGGGCCTTGTCAGGACAGGCAGGGTTACAGAGGGGAGCGGCCAGCCCAGCCCAGCTAGCTGCAGAATTCTGAGAGTTGCCTTCTGAAGAATCAACATCTCCAAGCTCTAGGAAGAACCAAGGGACAGAGAAGTCGGACAAAGGGAGGCTTACAATGCCAAGCTGCTCCCAACAGACCCCGGAAGCTTATGTCTTGCAAAGAATGTCACAGGCTCCCTAGGAAGACTTTGGGAAACCACACACTCTCCCAGTCCCTCGTCCCATTCCAGAGCAAACTGGGAATGACTTCACAGGTCCTTCCAAGGAGAAACAAGATTTAAACAATGTAAGCCACCCTGTGTTTTAATCATAAGATGATGTAAAAAAAAATCTCAGTAAGCACGACTCAACATGGAACAAGGAAGCCCAGATTTTTGGATGGCCCCGCCAGTGTCGACACAGAGTCTCCGTGCCCATTAACCAAACCTTCCCTGTTGCCCCAACATACCCGACAAGGGCCTTTGATGGTTGGCCACTTCTCGCAAGTCCACATCTGGACCTCCCACACCCTGAAAAGAAGCACATGAGCCAAAAGGAAGAAGCAGTACTGTAAGGTCCATGGGATTCAACAGGAGGAAGGGGAGCCACTGCAGGGAGTGCTTCTCCCTCATTAACCTCCCACTGCACTCTAGCGCTATGAAGGGCTGAAAGGACTGGCTTCAGGGGGCTGGCATTTAGGTCTCTCTATTCACCTGAAGACTGCCGAAGGGGTCGCTGCTAATACTTTGCTGCCATCCGGTGACCACGCCAGGTAGGTGACCCCACCTCCTCCAAACCATTGCAGCTGGATGCAGTTTTCTGTGGACACATCCCACACCTACAGAGAACAAGACAAAAGAGGGGAGATTCATGAAAATCCATTTGTCTCCCCAGGAACTCTTCTTTCTGATGGGCAGCTGAGAAAGCAAAGAGAAGCCACAGCTCTATCTCTCTGGTGGAAAGTGTTCATCCACCCTCCCCACCCTCCTTGCCTGCTGGGGCTTTTATGCTTCCTCCCCATCCTGCATTGTAAGAGCAGAAACAAACTACAGCTGGCGAATATCTGGCCTTGTTGGACTGCAACTGCATAGTTGGACTGCAACTGCATAGTTCAGTAGCCTGAGGCTTTGATTCTCAGAGCCAGAGGCTGGGAGTTCGATTCCCCACTGGGCCTCCTGAGAGAAGAGCCAACCTGTGTAGCCTTGGGCAAGCTGCCCAGTCCCAGGGCGACCCCCCAGAAGAAGGGAAGGATAAGCCACCTCTGAGCATTCTCTACCTGGAAAACTCTGAAAAGGATCATCATAACTCAGAACTGACTCGACGACTTGCAATCATGTTGCAATTACTACAACATTAAGAAGGCTGAACATTACAAACACTCCCACACACCCCAGGTGATACTCACAAGCATGACAGTGTCAACTGGTGAGGCGGACAGCAGCAATCCCCCACTGGGTGCCCAGGCCAGACTGGTGACAGGGCTATGGCCAGGGTGACTGAGGACCTGGGCACAGCCAGACGAAGGCCTGCAGGGACAGGAGACAGTGTCATTCTTCCCAGGGACAGGAGGAAGGCAAGCAGAGACGCATGAAAGACAGGACTGGGTAGAGGCAGCGTCCCCGAGGTGGCAGCTGCAATCAAGGGCAGAATTCACCACCCCCAGAATGCCAGCTTCCTTCACAGGCAGAGCGATCCTCCATATATATAAAATAAATAGACATTTTAGTTTGTTGCTAGTTCATGTTTAGTTGATGTTTATTTTGATTCTGCTTGTGTTTACTGTCTGCTATTACTGTTTATCTGTTTTTCATTGTAAACTGTCCAGAGTAGCCCTGGCAGCCAGATGGATGGTAATAAAGTCAAATAAATAAATAAAGTAAAATAAATACATATAAGCCCTGCCTGGTAAAAAAAATTAGGATCCAGGGAAGCAGCATTTCTGTGGGTTGAGAGGGCACTCAGCGCTCCTTCCCTCCCGGAGAAGTAGCAGAATCTGTGTGTTAAGAGTGCAATAAATGGGGCATGCTAACTGTGTGACCCATAATTTCTAGGGTACATGGCTTTGGAAAAATTGCCTTTTGGGACTGTGCCTCCCTGAATTTCTTAGCCTACACTGGCTGAGCCAGCTATAGGTTTGGGGAGCCATAGTTCCCAAGCTCTGCCTTTTTCAGCAAAATGTGGTAACAGATGGGATCCAAAGGGAATGTTTTTTTAAAAAAAGAAAGAAAGAAACAAGGGCAAAATGAAAAAGAGGGAGTGGGAGAAGAGTGTCACTTTGTATCAGCCACAAGAAGTCTGTTCTGTGTTCCCTTGCAGGGCAAAGCATGGCCATGAGCAGCCACTGTGTCTGCTGGCCAATGTGGGTCACCATCATCAGGGACCCAGCTGTACCCACTGACTGGTTACCTGGTGGAAAGGGAAGTGGGGTCCAGATGCCAAACCAGCACACAGCTGTGGCACGCCACGGCCAGGATGGACGCGCACAGGGGCTTCCACGCCATCGACGCCACATTCCGCTGCAAGCGGTGCTTCAGGACAGGCACGGTGGCACTGGGAAGGAAAAGCAGGGACAGACGTAACCACCAAGGGAAAAAAAGAAAAGAGCCAGGAAGCCTTTCAGGGGAAGTCGTACCCAATGGGAAAGCTGCATGAGAGCAAGGTCCAGACACTATAGGTAGCGGGCCTCTGATTTGACCTTGGTCACTGTGGAGGCTTTGCAGCCAACATGGCTGAAGCTGGATGTCCCCTAACCCAGTGGTCCCCAACCTTGGGCCTCCAGATGTTCTTGGACTTCAATTCCCAGAAATCCTGGCCAGCAGAGGTGGTGGTGAAGGCTTCTGGGAGTTATAGTCCAAGAACATCTGGAGGCCCAAGGTTAGGGACCATTGCCCTAAATGACACCCAGTATTTCAGCCCCCGCACCAGGTGAGTGAATGGTATGGACCTGACTTCCGATCATACTCTACTCCATGGGTAAAGAACCTTCGGCCCTAGAGATTTGGGGGACTACAACTCCCAGAAACCCTCACCATCAGCCACGACAGCTGAGGTTTCTGTAACTTATCCTCCAAAAAAACATGGAGACCCAAAGATGCTCCAGTGACTTGTCTCCTTGCCTGTGTTGAGCAATGATGCCAAGAGTAGTAGAGCAATTGCTTTCATTGTGGCTGGGTATAAACAGAGAGTGTGGCCAGAGGGCAGCCAGAAGACCGTGATGTATATTTGGTGGACTACCTAGCAGTCGCAGGCTGCTAGGATCCTTACCAGAAGGGTAGAGCTGAGCAGATCCTGGTTCATCCCTAAAGCGCTTTTTACATTTTTAAGCAAGAACAGGTAGTCTGACTCATTTAACAGGGTCAGGATACACCCAACTGCTGTGAGAACAAAGCATGGTCTCTCATGTTCTAATATTCAAAACACAACAATGGGCTACGGCAATGCTAGGGGCAAAGGTGGCACCAGAGAGCCCACTCCAGTTACAGAGGGCATACGTCCGATGGCAATACAGTCGTTTCTCCCTCTCATTTGATCACACGGTGCTGCTCAATCCCATGCAGACTGAGCTCTGCTTCTCCAGTTCATTTTTTCTGAGGCTAAACTCATCTGTATTTCTTAGCTTGCAACAGCAAAAGCTTGTGACCCTGTGCAAGGCTATATAGCTAACACAGAGAGCAAAAGCTTCTGAAACGTATACTGCAGCACAGAGATGCAACCCTGATGCCTCCAGATAGCTTGGATTACAACTCCCACAAACACTGCCCAACAACTACACTGGCTGGGGCTGATGGGAGTTATAGTACAAACCATCTCAAGAGCGCCCGTCTGCCTACCCTGCTGTACCACATGGCAGTTCAGAAGCCACCCATGAGCACGTACATGGGCTCAGCCTGCTTAAACAGAAGCACATCAGCTAAGGTCTGCACTGGGAAACCCCCGTACCTGTTTGCATTGTAAACACGGATGCAGTCATCCAGCAGGGCCACGGCAAACTTGCTCGTGTGAGGATGCCATGCAAAGGCTCGGATTGGGCAGCCAGCCCTGGGGAGGCAAGAGAGTGGAGATGAAGGTAATGGCAGGCACACATGCTCTCCATTACACAAGAATCCAACAGGAGTTAAAATATAGAAGCTAAACCAATTGAAGGTGTTTCTGTGAGAGGGAGGAGGGACCTCCTGCCAGAATCTAAAGGCAAGCTGGCCATCTTTGAAAACACATCCACAATCAGGATGATGAAACATTGGACCAAAAGTGATCCTGCCCTCCCCCACCTGCAACACACAAACACCAGGATTTCAAAGCAGACTTGCAAAAAAATTGAGGATTTTAGTGCACATTAATTTTCAGGGAGACATACACAAGCACAGCTGTAGGAAGCAGACATTTATATACTCAAAGTGGAGGGCAGGGAATGCAAAACGTAGTAGAGATGTCAAAGGTTGCAGAAGGGTGATGTTTGGGATCCTTCAGGGCTTAGAAAAGCCATAGAAAAGTAGTGAGGGCAGCAGCTGAAGTCCTTGGATCTGAAGGAGGAGGCTGGAATTCACGAAAGCTTACATCAAATACAAAACCTACACCAGTCTTAAGACCTTTCTGATTTTAGTCCGCATTTGTGATTCAAAATGACAGAATCCATGTGTAATAATTTTTCAGGGTTTTATCAACACTAAATGTGATTTTCTAGGGATTCATGCAGGACTGAACTTCCTTAATCCCCAGACCTAAGAGACAGAAATTTGTCTCAATAGAGCAGGGGCCTTCTACGAAATAGGTGTCTGTCATGTGCCAAAGCAGAGCAATTCTATATGTCCCTTGCACTCTCTGAATTGTTGGGGGGTGGGGCGGGTCAGGATGTTTTTCCCTGTGACTGTTCCCCAGTTCCAGGTTTAAAGCAGGAAAGCACAGCAGATCTCCCCTGGCCTCGTGTTATGTCTGAAACAGACCAGGAGACCAAAGACGATGGCTTCTTCCTTTGGGAAGAGCGGCACGAGAAATGTACTGACAACAGTTGTCATCAGATTGTTGGGTTTCTTTTTGGTTTTAAATTGCTAAATTGTGTTTTTAATTATGTGTTCATGTTTATTTTTAATTGCAAGTTTGTTTCTTTTTACTAAAAAGAATTCAAGGAAGGTAAAGTACAGGTTGGGGAGTGAGATAGTGTCTCAAAACAAACAAAACCCAAAACCAAAGAGGGAGAGCGATGTGAAAACATTTGGAAACGGCCGTCATATAGCACTAGGCATCTGAACATACTTGCCAAGAAGTACAGAAATGAAACATAGAACTTACCAATCTACGGCTTGGGAGAATTTTGCTATCATGTCTTCCTTCTGAAGCTTTGGGAAAGGACCAATTGAGAAAGATTTAGCAGTGGAATAGCAATCACTCATGATGTGAACGAACTTTAGAAGTGCATCCAAAGCAAGATAATTGCTGAGCACATTCCGAGGGAATGGATTGTTAGTCAACATATAACGAAGGAGAAAAAATTCCCTCTGCTTGTCCACTAGGTTTTTTGCTTTTGTTTAAGCAATTAGTGCTCTCTTACCTTAATCCAGACGCAATCTCCTTCCCCCATTTGGATTATTCCTGTCATCTTTATCCTTTCCACCCCTGCCCAAGCCCTACAGCCTACATGTCTCACCGATAAATGGGGAAAGAAGGAGCCATGGAGAGAAGAAACCCAGCAGCAGAGGGCTAGTGTATAATGGGATCCAGTTTTCATCCAACGGAGAGCTGCAAGGAAAAGAGAGGATACCAAAGTGAGAGCCCCTCAGGATTACCGGAATAAAGTGCAGCTTCCAAGACTACTTGGAATGCTGCTTAGGAGCCCCATTGGAAAAATCAAGCAAACCCAGAACTAGAATGACATCTGCAACCTATATGCAACGTGGTGCCAGATCCTAACAGGCGGGTGGAGCAATTGTGCTTCAGTTGACCACAGCCAAGAATAGAGAATTATCTAGGAAGCAACAAAACTGCTCCCAGGGCTACTCCGGAGCAGTGAAGCAGCAACGGTTTTCTCCCAAAGAAGGCAGAGCCAAGACTGGAGGAGGTTTCCTCTGTGGCCAGATGTGGAAACATGAGTTGGCCACGCCCCCTCGAGGTGAAGTTAACCTTTTTGTGTTGGGCCGACTCCTCCAGAGACCAAGTATGTTTCTTTTCCAGGCTTCTAGATCACATGCAGAGCATCTTCACCTCAAGCTGTTCCTTCCCACAAATGGAGCCCATGACAGAAAGAGGGGCCTCTACTGCTCTCCCCTTCCCCTCACGATAAGACTAGCTTAGATTCTGGATGCCTGAATGAAAAGACATGGATGCACATTCTATCAAGATGGAAACTGGGCACCAGCTACCCATTAGAGCCATTTTTTTGGTGGCAGTCCTGTGTCTTTCTTAACATCCACCCTTAGCAGTAGACTCCTAAGTGACATGCACCCTAGCAACATAGCTGCCTATCTAACTTATGCCTCCCCCCTTCTGTTTTCTAGTTTTTTCCTGCCCATCATATAGCAGGTTGTTACGCTACAACTCACTTTTTCTGCTTCTTGAAAAAAGGTAACATTCTACCACTAGCCATGGTCCTGTTTTGATCATTATCTTTGTCCCTAACTAGATTCATCAACAAGAGCAGCATCAAGTGTGAAATGGCAACTCAGTTCAAGCAAGGATAGCCAGGGTTTTGTTTTGTTTTTCAAACTGAAAAGGCCAGCTTTACATTTTCCCACTGAATTCTGTATGCAAACTCTTTGCAGGTAAAGGCACAGTATAAACATATATGTATCAAGAACTAAGCTCTAGATAGTACTGTAAATACATTTCCTGTTGTAATGGGACCTTACTTTGAAGCAACGGGTGTTAAGGTCAGGCTGAGTGCTTTTTTTAGATGAAATACCTTTCTCCTTTTTTCTGGCTAACTTCTTCAAAAAATACCTCCACATGGAGACAATGGCCCACAAAGTTTCAGTTTCATACAGAAGAGCGGCATAAATAAAATAGAGGAATCATGTTTATATCTTCAGTTTCAGAACTGCCTCTGTGCAGTGAAGGATGTTAATCCATTGGTATAATACAGAGATGGGAAGGGTGGCCCTCCAGATGCTTTTAGTCCACAAATCACATAATCCCTCATCGCTGGTTGTGCAGGCTTGGGCCTAGAGGAGGTACAGGCTTTAAAAGAACATCTGCCCATCCTTCTTTTAAAGAGCATGGAGCCATGGTTCAGGAAAGCAGCTGCAATGTCTTTGAATCCAATGCTGTTTTTAAAAAAAGCCAGGGCAGACAGAAGGCCGCCCCCCCCCCCGGGGGCAAATCAGGTAAACAGAAGACACTTCTGTAGTGAGAGGTTGAAGGAAACAGTGACTCAAGGCATATGATTATTAGGAAAGCTACCTAGCTCCCTTGCAGAGTCCACCCAAGACTGTTCATCCATCCTCTGGCCCAGGCTGTTCTCCTCCTCTGTATTGGCCAGCTCTTCAAGGACTCCAGCCACACCGACATCCCGCCTAGAGGCAATGCAATGAAATGTCTTGCATGTCAAAGGGAGGGAAGGAAGGAAACATTTTCCCATTTTTAGCATGCAAACCAATAAAGCAAAAGCAACACGATTTCTCTCTTCTAACTCCAAAGGACTAAGATTTGAGTGCAGTTTCCGGAATCTGATTTCCTCCAATTTTCCCCCTTCAGCCACCATGAAGAGAAGCTTCTGAGCAGGTATGAACATTAAAAAAAACCCTCAGAAACCATAGTGCAGCTGAAGCCCCATAACTCTTGCCCATTACCTGGTCCTTACCAGGGCCAGCAGAGGTGTCGATATTCTTAGTTACGCAATTATTCCCCAACAGCACCATAAATTACCCCACTGCGCTCCTGGTCCTGTTCTTATAGGAAGGGATTTAGCAGCTGCCATCACCAGTTCCATCTGGGACATTTTTGTTGGGGGAGCTTTGTTATCCAATTGGAACGTGCCACTTAACAGCAGATCAAGGTGTCCTAGTAAAGGCTGCAATGCTAAAATATATTTCTCTTTTTGGTCCAGTCCAGTGAAACACACAAGGAGGGCAGACCACACAAAGCGCACAGCTGCAATCACATGAAAAGAGGCATACAGTATGTGAATGTGCTTAATAGCAAAAGAGGCTGGCATGTAAGCCATTCAGAGCCGTTCCCCCTGAATGTGGCCTCGCTCCCTCCACCTCCTGTCCCCTTCTCTTCAAAGCTAAGATTCAACCATGGAAGTATACCTAGCTTAGTGAGAAGTGTTGGCAAAGAAGAGCCATGGATGGGCCATCAGTGGAACAAGAAGGATTTGGGACTTCTCTACTGTATATACCCCCTGATGTTAAGAATGGATTCCCATGCCTCTGCCCTGCTATAACCCTTCTCTGAAGAATTTGAACAGGTTGGTGTTCAAACGATTGGATCAGTAGCTGTGATGTCTAGGTTGACTCCCACTCACCAGGCATTAATGCACCTCTTCCAGAGTGATTCACGGTGATGAATAAAGGCAGGCTTGGTGCTGTGTTCCAGCCGGCTGTGAGCTTTCAGCGTTTCTTTGGGGATGGTCAGGGTGGGAAGATCCTCCAGCTGTATAGCCATTGGGAAAACCAAGAGGGAGTGAAAACCCTTCATCCAAAGTATTTTTTTGTGTGTGGGGGGGAAGAGAACTGGGAGACTGAGACACCGGGGAGGAAACGTGGTACTAAAGTGCAATTTGTGAGCAGCAGAACAGAGTGAGACCTTGTGTACTGTTTTGCTGGCCTATGAGTGCACATTGCAATCCATAGGCACAGAGTTCAGGGTCTGGAAACCCTCGCCCTTAAAAACAGAAACAAAAACTTAAAAGGCCAGATCACTCTCCCTTCTGGTTTCAGGGATACACTTGAAAATGTACACACCTCAATATCTTTAGGTGCAGCCCATTATCTTAAATACACATTCTGCCATAAATAAAAAAAACCCAGGTGATCCCCAACATCCCATTGTTGGGCACTGGCACTACCATGGTTAAGGCATATGATTATACAGATTCCATTCTTAGGCTACATGGCACTAGTTCTTCAAGTGACATAAGGAATACAGTATTACTGAGCTTCTGAGAAAATTAAAATCCATTGATAACTATGTGGGGTTTTCAAATTATTTCTATTCCAGCTTCCAGAACTCAGTATGAATTTGCATAGCTAAAATTCTGGCAGCTTCAGTTTTTAAAAAAGGAATTTTCTGAAGAAGTTTTAGGACCTGTTCTTTGCCAAGGCTCTGTCTACAGTAGTGGTTCTTAACCTTTGTTACTCAGGTGTTTGTTCTTTGCCAAGGCTCCGTCTACAGCAATGCCCATTAAAGCATGGAAAAGCACAGGGGTAGAGCTTTCAAAGACATGCAAAGCATTAGGGGGCAGCCATTTCTATATTCATTAGGCTCTGTAAGTAGGGTTTCTCAAAAAGAGTACCATCCCCTAATGATTTGCAGTTCCCACGGAGCTTAAAGGGCTCCACCATTGCCCTTCTCTGTGCTTTAATTATAGTCACTGTAAACAGAGCCTTGACATAGATAAGGAGTGTATTCTGAAACTCCTCCGAAAACCTGAGTTTTTTAAAAGCTGACTTCTATCAGTCTTCTAGCTGCGGGGGTTTCCTGCTGAATTCTAGTAGCTGTTGTGGGGGGGGGGATCTGAACATCCCATGCCTGCAATGACCTCCTAGAAAGCCCCTGAAGGAATCATGGATGGAAAGGAGCCTTTCAGCAGCATCCCCTACAACAGTGTATTGATCCACTATACAGTACTCTGCTACTTTGTACTTCTCCATCATTACTCCAGGTATGGAGATAACATCTTGTCTTCAGATCAACTGCACTCTCATGTCCCCACCTTCTAAAACATCTTCAAGACTGAACTGGCTGTTTCCTCAGTCTCTTTTCTACCTGAAATCCACTGAGGACATGTTCATTATGTAGACTCATCGGGTAGAAATTACTGAATACCTGGTGAAATATAATTCTATCAGGATTTCTGTCAAGTTCCGCCCTATCATCAATTTGAAACTAGACAAGTTCACGCAACAAGTTTACTTTCTTGATACTACTGAACAACTATATAAACGCCCCCCTGTATTGGAAAACTTACAGATCATTATGCATAATTACAGTAGGAGCTCCATATCCATAGAACTGGTACCTGAAATTTCACTTTCCCCTTGCTTACCACAGCCCTATATACAACAAGGGCTAACTCTGCTACTTTGTACTTCTCCATCATTATTCCAGCTATGGAGATAACATCTTGTCTTTAGGGGATTGGTTCTACAATCTATCATGGATCCTGAAACCACAGGACGAAGGTCACAAAGGGGTGCCTTTCTATATTATTTATAATATGCTTTGATCTGCAGAGCTGGAAGGGACCCAGTGGATCACCAAATACAGCCGTTGTCAAGACAGCACAGTGGGGAATTTGTTCATTATGTAGACTCATCGGGTAGAAATTACTGAATACCTGGTGAAATATAATTCTATCAGGATTTCTGTCAAGTTCCGCCCTATCATCAATTTGAAACTAGACAAGTTCACGCAACAAGTTTACTTTCTTGATACTACTGAACAACTATATAAACGCCCCCCTGTATTGGAAAACTTACAGATCATTATGCATAATTACAGTAGGAGCTCCATATCCATAGAACTGGTACCTGAAATTTCACTTTCCCCTTGCTTACCACAGCCCTATATACAACAAGGGCTAGCTGGACAGCTCTGTGGTTTAGGTATCTGGCTGCGCAACCAGATGTTGGAAGTTCAATTTCCCATTGTGCTTCCTGGAAATCGTACAGCCAGCCTAAGTGGCCCTGGGCAACCTGCGAAGCCCCAGGGTGATCTCAGAAGAATGGTCAACCACTTCTGAGTACTTTGTACCTAGAAAGCCCTGAAAAGGGTCACCATAAGTCAGAATTGACTTGATTTTAATCCTTGTCTTTAATAGGTGTGAACAAACGTTCTTGTATTGTAGAGCTTGATAATGGACAATAGTGTTCTAGAGAAGTGGTTCAATAACCTCCTAGAAAGCCCCTGAAGGAATCATGGATGGAAAGGAGCCTTTCAGCAGTGTCCCCTACAACAGTGTATTGATCCACTACACTCTGCTACTTTGTACTTCTCCATCATTATTCCAGCTATGGAGATAACATCTTGTCTTTAGGGGATTGGTTCTACAATCTATCATGGATCCCTGAAACAACAGGACGAAGGTCACAAAGGGGAGCCTTTCTATGTTATTTATAATATGCTTTGATCTGCAGAGCTGGAAGGGACCCAGTGGATCACCAAATACAGCCGTTGTCAAGACAGCACAGTGGGGAATTGAGCTCTCAATCTCTGGTTTCATGGCCAGATTCCTGAACCACTGAGTTACCTATCCAGCAGTTGATAAAAATCATGTGCGTTGGGAACCACTGCTCTAGAACACTATTGTCCATTATCAAGCACTACAATACAAGAACGTATCACACCTATTAAAGACAAGGATTAAAATCAAGCAATCCTTTTTAAAAAGCTGTGGAAAACAGATGAACAGCAGTAACAAAGAACAGGCTACAGTACAATACAAATCTAGACAAGACAATTATAGAAAATCATTGCTCGTTCTCCTCTACAGTTCCAAATGACAACTGCACAAATATGAATGACATTTTCAGACAATTATAGAAAATCATTGCTCGTTCTCATCTACAGTTCCAAATGACAACCAGACAAATATGAATATTTTCCGATTTTAATCCTTGTCTTTAATAGGTGTGAACAAACGTTCTTGTATTGTAGAGCTTGATAATGGACAATAGTGTTCTAGAGCAGTGGTTCCCAACCTTGGGCCCCAGATGTTACTGTACTGCAACTCTTGGAAATCCTGGCCAGCATAGCAAGTGGTGAAGGCTTCTGAGAGTTGCAGTCCAAGAACACCTGGGTTACCTAAGGTTAGAAATCACTGTTCCAGAAGAAAGCTGGATTCTGTAGGGGATTGGTTCTACAATCTATCATGGATCCTGAAACCACAGGACGAAGGTCACAAAGGGGTGCCTTTCTATATTATTTATAATATGCTTTGATCTGCAGAGCTGGAAGGGACCCAGTGGATCACTGGGTCCAGCCGTTGTCAAGACGGCACAGTGGGGAATCGAGCTCTCAATCTCTGGTTTCATGGCCAGATTCCTGAACCACTGAGTTACCTATCCAGCAGTTGATAAAAATCATGTGCGTTGGGAACCACTGCTCTAGAACACTATTGTCCATTATCAAGCACTACAATACAAGAACGTATCACACCTATTAAAGACAAGGATTAAAATCAAGCAATCCTTTTTAAAAAGCTGTGGAAAACAGATGAACAGCAGTAACAAAGAACAGGCTACAGTACAATACAAATCTAGACAAGACAATTATAGAAAATCATTGCTCGTTCTCCTCTACAGTTCCAAATGACAACTGCACAAATATGAATGACATTTTCATCTCACACAAAAATTGCCCCATTTCTGGCTTCATGCTTATGTGTAACTAGCTTATGGGACTAGCTACAAAGGCTTTTTAATGGAGATAGTGAAGCTGACTATCACACATTGCTCTTGAGCTATTGAATTGCAGCTCTCAGACCACATGTAGAACTCTGATGCTGACTCCTGAAACTTCTCATCACTTCCAGTCATGGTGAAAATATTAATTTATCCCAGCAAAGATACACAAAGTGTGGATGCACCAGACACAGATGAACAGCTTGCTCTGTTCAGATGGAGAAAATAATTGGTGCACCTCACAGTGTCCTTTTCTGGAAAATGTTATGAGGCAAAAGTCAGAATTCGTACTCTAATCAGAATTGCTGGGTGGCAGTGAAAGCAGGACTCTGGGCAACTTGTTTCTGTGCTCAAAAACAGTTGCTTACCTCTCCTTGGAAAGTAAGCGGAAGCTTCTCATAGCTGCGACCAGAAACCAAGGCATTGTTAAATTCATAAAGGGTGATGTCTCCTGGAGGGGGTGGGGGTGGGAAGAGTGCCAGGGAACACATTCTCCTAGAGATCCAGGGAAAAGCAAAAAACACGGAAAGAAAAAGCTTCTTATTCATGAGCAGCACCATGAAAATTACATGCAAAACTTGAATACCATCGCTAGTTGTAATGATAGCCACAGGAAGGCTTTACACAACCTCTGTTTGGCTACTGTCTACAAAACTGTGCTTCCACCATTCAGTTTTGGAGTTGTTTTTTTCCAGTCTGCAGTCTGATTTCCTTTATTCTAGACAAAAACTACCAGAACATAGCTTTATTTAGAGGCATCATTACCAAACCATTAGTACTAAACAGGGCAAGCAAGGTAAGTAAAGAAAAGAAAGCTCCAGGCTGAAAAGATCTGGGATGGCGAATATGAATGACACTCCTCATGCAGGGTATCTTTGATCCTTGAATTGCCCCTGTTCAGGTGGCACTATGCTACTAAGCACCAGTTGTTGGGGGTGGGCGAAAGCAGGGAAAGGTAATGCCTTCATTCATAATGGCTTCCACAGACATCTAACTGGCCACTGAATTGAAATAACTGAATTGAAGGGGTCAAATTAATACATAAAAAATATATCTTACCCTAACCATTGCTACCTGGCTTTCAGTAAATTGTTTTGCTACATAAATGTGTAAACCTAATGTATCAAGATTTCTGCCTAGCATTATTGTTGCTTGTACTGAATTACTGTTGCTTGTAACTAACTAGGCTAGCTGAGAATGTGTCCTTGGTCAGTGATAGGAAACATGGCAGTCCAACTGCCCCGAATCAGGAGGGATGGGACGTCTGCAAAGACTCCTTCCCTGCTCTTGCTCTTGTTCCTGTCCTTTGCCTTCCCTTATTCAGTTGAAGGCTTATAAAAGTATACAGTACTCTGTAATGAGCACCGCGGGCCTCTTCCTCGCATGTTTCTGTGGGTGAAGGTGCGACGACTATTCGCTTCCTCCCAGCTGAGAATAAACAAATATTTATTGGATCTCTCTGATTGCTTGACCAATGGATTAGAGACAGGCAAAAAGCCAGGAAATAGTCTTCAGAATGGTGGGGTAGACTGGGGTAGGGATAAACACGAACACCTTCCATCAATCCTAACCAGCAAAGGCAATGCTGAAAGACTATGCGAACAGCAGCAGCCCGGACCCTCCCACAAACAAAAAACACAGGAAGCCCATAACTGCTGTTCTCCTCCACCTCGCAGCCTCGCTCGACCTTTAGTCGGACCCAGGAACGCCCTTTTTTTCTGTTCCAAAACATGGATTTTGCAGAGATTTACGTGCAAGTCTATATTATCATAGGTTGATTGCTATTTTTTCGGTATGATGGCAAGCTGCTCTGAATTTACTGTACTTGTAGGAAAGCGGGATTACGTTTGGCTAAATAATACGGTAATCACAAAAAAGCAATCCTGAAATCCGTGGGACTTGCTTTGGAGGGAACACGTGGTTAGAGATCGCCTAGAATAGAGGCTGCGACCATCCTGACGCTTCAATGCAACGTGATCGTTGAAAACCCCATTAAGAGCTATTGCTAATACGTAGGAGGAGAGAAAAGGGAAAAGCCTGCTTAACCCGCCCACAGTATTCACCCGGTGGCCCGTATTAATTCAAGCTCCTCTCACTCACCCTTCTGTGGCTTCACTGGGAAGGTTTGTAACAACTAAAGAAGAGGGGGGGGGGAAAGAACCATCTACTGTATTTCCCACCAACTTTGGCTTTTCCCGGGCGCCGTTCGGACCTTAACGACGGGAGCCGAGCGAGGACATACCGCGGCAATGAAGGAACGCCTAGAGCGGCACAAGCCCACGCGCCGCCTCCGTTCCCACTTTCAAACCCGGCATCTTTCACTTATCGCCACCTAGCGGCGCTCATGAGTTTACAAAAATACTTTTCAGGACCACCGGGGTTTTCTTTTTCTTTCTTTCTTTCTTTCTTTCCTAAAGCAGCCCATTGCTCGTGGCGGTGCCGCTTGCACAGCTGCAGTGTTTAGGTGCCGATCTTAAGGTGGAAGGAACTCCAGAAAAAAGTGGTAGAGTAGGTCGTTAAACATGTAATCGGATTTAAAACTTGCCCGCAAGTAACTGAGCTGAGAGCAAGACATATTGCATCCAATGTCTTTAAATTGATATGCATATGGGGAGTGCGTTCTTAATTTGAGGTTTTGAGCCAAGCCACCTGACGAAATACTGGATACTTAGGCAGAAGTAAGTGCCCCGGATTTTGGAAGCAGAAAGATTGCTTAGGACGGTGCCCCGGATTTTGGAAGCAGAAAGATTGCCTAGCTGGTGCATTTAGATTTGCAGTTTTAATGGCTGTGAAAAGAGGACACGTGAACCAGATGAAAGCATTCTCAATTCCGACGTGAAAAACACCCAGCATATGCCGGAAGTAATATCTTGCTCGTTAATGATGTGCATTTAGATTTGCAGTTTTAATGGCTGTGAAAAGAGGACACGTGAACCAGATGAAAGCATTCTCAATTCCGACGTGAAAAACACCCAGCATATGCCGGAAGTAATATCTTGCTCGTTAATGATGTGCCTATACATACCTCATAAGAGTTTTCAGGATAAATGAGATACTTGAGTGGTTTTACCAGTCTGCCCTCCGAGTTTCCACGGCCAAGCAGGGATTCGAACTCTCTCTCTTGAGTTCTAGTGTGCCCCTCTGTTTACTATAGTGGCTGCTCCCAGTCTTTGGAATGCACTGCCCCAGAAACCAGATTAGCCCCCGCCACCGTCTTGTCTTTCTGTTGTCACGTAAATACCTTCCTTTTCAGGCCAACTCATACGAGTCTAGGGAACACTCTGTTTTTAAAATTTTGATATTTAATCGTTTTTAAAAATGTTTTCAAAATTTATTTTTAATCTTGCTTAATCGTTTTTTAATATGCAGTTTTGTGTGGTATTTTAACTTGTTATTATTGTATGATTTTAATTGGTGTGGGCAGCCTTGGGTCCCCTATGGGGAGAAAGGCAACAAAGAAATGAAATAAATACACAAGCAAACCACACTGGGTATCTCTCTTGCTTGTAACAACCCATAAAGAACCAAAGGAAGAGAAACAACAATACAAATCAGTTCTGTTGATTGGTCCAAATAAGATTCAGGAGTTGAGCAAGTTTTAAAATTTCACTAAGCTGTTACTTAGATATTATGTAAATCAGACAAGCTCTCGTCCCATTTTTAAAGGAAGGAAATGCTGTTTCAGTTTCAGATGGTGTGAGCAGTGTGTCTGATTTGTTTAACAAACTTTCCTCCTCCTCAAAAGTAACTTAAATAGGGGTTGTTGTTTTTTACACACACCTTACTACTGCAAGCTACTGATTTGTGGCACTTTGTTTTCACCTCAACACTCATGACAAGGCGCTAAGCAGCGGAATGACAGATAGTATAAGCCAGCATTTGAACTGGAGTTATAAGGATGGACATGGCAAAAATGTCTGTGTTTGAATCATTTTGGGGTTCTTTTGGGAGTGCCTCTTTCATTCTCAGGTCATTTGTGTGCCAGTCTTCTCATCAACCACTAAAAATATCAGCTTTTCCTCGTTCTTTAAAGGAACGAACCTTCATGTTCTGCATGGCACTTGTACAACTTCTCAACAAACCGTTAAAAACAACAACAAAAAATCCACTCAAAAAGCAGGCAATAAGAGTAAATGAGTAAATCAGTGGTTCTCAAACTTGGATCCCCAGATATTCTTGGACGACAAATCTCAGAAGCCCTCACCACTTGCTCTGCTGGCCAGGATTTCTGGGAACTGCAGTCCAAGAACATCTGGTGACCCAAGTTTGAGAACCACTGGAGTAAATAAACCAGTCATGATCAATCCTGTGCAAGGACTCTATTATCACATTCAACACATCATCATCAGTTTTTCATCAGGCAACAGAAGTGTCTTCCACAAAGCTTTTCCTGATCACTAGCACACTGAGCCCGCCTGGCAAGTACCGACACCAGGACAAATAAGGTTAGTGTGGCTGAGTGGTCAGTGGATCCTCTCTCTGGTGGCCAGTATTCTTGACACTGGCATACTGCCAGTATCCAGTGGGTGGGTGGGCATGGGAACTCAGTAGAAACCTAGATCTGTAGCAGGAAAGTGTGGATCACGTCACCGTTTGCATTAGGAATATTGGAATATAGCAAAATAATTCACTTAAAGCCCCCAAGTTTCCTTAAATCCCATTTGGTCTACAACAAATGTATTCCAGAAACCAATGTCTCATGAAAAGCAGTCTTTTTGTTTCCCTTCTTATATATGACTCCATGATATGTCTCATGACTTTAACATCCTTTTTTGGTTCCTGTAGTGGATATATAAACTTAAAGTGTCAGTACCTAATATATGTTGGAAGACTCTGGATACTCAGGAGGCACAACATAGGTAGCAAGTTAGGAAAGTTTCCTAACACAGGTTGTTCAAGATCTCAAAGCCAGAATGCTATTGGCATTCACATACACTTCGTGTAACTTGCTGCAGCTAATTGCAACTAACTGGTGAAGGTGTTGAGGTCTGTGTCAGTTACACACCTCATTATGCCCTGTTGCACAATCAAGATGCACCTGGGCACCTCATCACTTAGCTGGATTAGCTGCAGCAAGTTATGCAAACCTTACACAAACACCAGGAGAATTCTGGCCAGTGTTAAAGAATTCCATGGTTACTTTGCTAGAACCAAACAAAGAAACCTCCAGTTCAACTATGACTAATAACCAGACTTGTTTTAGAAATTCAAAAGCAAGTCATGATGTACAATGCTTCCTTTATTTTCCCCCCTGCCATCTGGTGATACCTAGTGTGGTGTGGGGCAGCGATTCTTAACCTTTTCTTTACCATGGGCCGCCTTTAAATACCTTTTGTTGTCACAGACCACCAAGACATAACTCAAGATATAAAACCCTAAAGTGAATCAAATATTTTTAAAAAGTTTTTCATGAAGGGTCTCATCGACAGATATTCCTCATTATATGTAATGGCGAAATTTTTTAAGATGACTGGAAGAAGCTTCATTTTGCTTTGAACAGGATGCACCCTCATCAACAGCATCAGTTCTCTTACATTTCAAATTCAGCCAATGATCCATTCTGAGGATCAGTCACAATGTATTGTTACAAAATTCACTGCAATAATATTGAAAAGTCACTTTACCAATACCAAACAGTTTTAGTAGCAGCAATCGAAGACGAAACACAAACACGAAATCTGTCCGAACACTCACTCACACTGACACTGACTGACTCCGACTCTATTTTGCTGCGGCTTCTGTTTGTGCAGTAGCAAAAAATGTCATGTGCTGTCTCTCAGCCACTCAGTGTTATTCATGTGCATATCCTCACTGTGTGCAGAAATATCATAGTTATTTCCTATCAAAGTTATTTTCATAACTGATTTTTCCTTTTGTTTGCTTTCAATGGAGGCAATAGGTTAGAAAAGCCAAGTTTTACACGAAGAAGGAAGAGAAATTAGGATTTTAACATGTCATTTTCTTTCTTTCTTTCTTTCTTTCTTTCTTTCTTTCTTTCTTTCTTTCTTTCTTTCTTTCTTTCTTTCTTTCTTTCTTTCTTTCTTTAACTGCAAAAGGTCATAACATTTCTTTAAGCCTTCACGGACCCCCTGTGAGGACATAATGGATCCACAGACCACAAATTAAGAACCTATGGTGTAGCGCAGTGGTTCTTAACCTTTGTTACTCGGATGCTTTTGGACTGCAACTCCCAGAAACTCCAGTCAGGACAGCTGGTGGTGAAGGCTTCTAGGAGTTGCAGTCCAAAACTCCTGTGTAACCCAAGGTTAAGAACCAGTGGTGTAGTGGATAGAGGACTAAGACTCTGGATTCGAATCTCCACTCATCTACGGGGGTGTGAAATTGGTAAAACTACTCCTTAATATCTCACTCACCTTGAAAGCCCTATTAGGGTCACTATACGTCAGTTCCAATTTCACAGTACATAACAACATCTGGTGATCAGAGTTGCCCCATTCAATATGTACATAGTTTCCTTTTTGCTTATTGTTGTTAATAGCTATTAATGGACCTTATCACTTGAAACATCAACTTCATGTGGTGACTGCCAAGTTGCCAAGAAGCAGCCAAAATGGGGTGCCTGAGAATCAGGTAGAAGGTAGCAAGTAATTTAAGAAATCTCAAATGTTGTGAAAGTACAAGAGAGAAAGTTTAAGAAAACATAAGGAAATGCGTTTGGTCCTTCTTATTAGTGGCTACCCTCGTGGGTGTGTCTGTGCTTAGATGTGTCAAGTCACGTGAGTCTGTGAAAGAGTTATTTGTGTCATTGGTCACATAGTTTGTGTCTAGTCATGTAAGTCCACATTTGTCCATTTCGTCCACCCATATGTGTGTGTGTGTGTGTGTGTGTGTTTCCTTTTACTCATATGCTCCACCTAGATCCCAGTCTTTGGTTAGGAAAGTTTCCAGTCCTTTTCTGGGGTTATATTTTTGTCTCGTTTTTATTATATTTATCTTTGTTTTTCTTAGAGGCCACAGAAGTTATTTTAATTTTTTTCAGGATATTAAATAAACACTGTGGCCGGGGGGGGGGCTGAGGGGCCCACAAAGCCTGCATTCCTGACCCATCCGAGAAAGAAAGAGAGAGAGGAGGTGGGGAGAGAGCAGCTCGATAGGAGCTGGTAATGTTGATGGCGCCTTTGCCTCAAAGACATCAGAAGTACCACAGGCCTGGCATTGAGCTCTCTGGTGTTTGGACACAAACACAGGCAGAAGTTGGGCAGGGAGGCTGTGGTTGGGGGGGGGGGGTCAGAGAACACACAGTGTGTGCCCTGCTGAGTGATGATTATGGGAGGGGAGGGGGGAGCAGGA